GGGGGGGGGGGATTGGACACCCAGCTAAGAGTTAAGTGATGATTGCAGTCTCGGGTAGGAAGGATGAGGGCGTCCAGCGGAAGAGACACCCAGATTGTTCACAAGACTAAGAACAAGAAAGAAAAATGGGTGTGTTACAAGTGTCCGGTTCCTGATTGAATATCAAAGAGAAAGGAATCGATGGTGGGGGGATGCTGTGGTGTGAAAGGGCTCAGAGGGAAAGAAAGCTGGGTTTAAGGCAAAAAGTAGTGTGGTGCATTTTCAGTGCTCCGACAACACTTCTTGGTGATAGCCACCGTGGATGGAGGGAAGTGTAGCCGTGACTGCCGAGGGAGTAGGGCCAGCAGCATTGGTGCAAGAGAAAGCAGCCTGTCTTCTGTAGCTGAGACCGTGGAATGATCATCACTCCCCAAACGGATAGATGAGAGCAGGGCTGCCCATGGAATCCTGGGGGGATCGCCTTTTCCCCCTTGGGTCTGATATAAAAAACATAAGCCTTCCTTTAGAAAAATCAAGCCCATGCAAAGTAATACACAGACCTTCATCGGAATTATGTCTGTGCCGACCCCCGAAGGCCAGGCATTCTGCTGTCGGACGGGTGCTGGGTGGGGAACGAGAATGAGACTTGGTCGGTGTTGTGGAAGGAAAAGGCACAAGCCTGGAGAGAGTGTCACGGAGAGTGGTCACACGTGGCAAACGAGCAGAAAGGCCCGTGCGCCGGGGGTTGAAAGCGTCCTTGGGAAGATAGTCTGATGCAGTCTTCCTGGGACTTGCTTCTCAAGCAGTCAGACCAGACGTCTGCCGGCAGTAGACTGATGCCTGATGGGAAGGAGCTCACCAAATGCCCTCCTTGGGAAAAGCGCCCAGGGGTCTATGGGCTGCGTTTCTCCGTCCTCTTGGGAGTCCGTTTGGTGCAGCCTGTGGAAAGGCGACACGCTCCTTTCCATTGAATGTAGCATCTAGCTCTCCCAGCTGCTGTCTGCAAGCGTGCTTCCTGCAGAGGGATCATCCCCCACCCTCTGTGATCACCCCCATGTCCCCTTCCTCGCAGAGCAATTAAGAACCCCTCTCAGTCGAGGAGCATGATTTTTAATTAAAATGTTAATCTACGTGTGTGCTTCAAAACCTCAAAGAAGTAATGCATTCAGCCTCCCTGGGGCCCTGGGACATGTCATAAATAACTCGTTTGATTGTTCTCCTTGTAGTTTATGCCCATTGTGGATTTATTATTATTTTTAAGGTAGCCCAGCTAATAATTTAGGTCCTTTTCCTGAGAACTCTTTCCCCTTGTATTAAGTTCACCCATTTTAAACTCTTAAGCCTATGTATGTCTAATCTTCTTAGCAATCATCCGAGCGAGTCATCTTGCCCCATTTGGACCTGAGGGGACTGTCCAACCTCTGGCCTTTCGGTTAGCAGACAAGTGTGTCAGTGTTCGTCGTACCGCGCAGGGGCTGGCGAGATTCATAGCTGTGTCAGGAGGTGTGAAGTACCCAAAGGTGTGTGCCCAGAGACTGAAGGCTAGCCGGGGAGCAGAGGTCAGCTGGGTAGGGAGCAGGGAGGACGGGCAAGAAGAAGGGAGTCCAGGTGCTGGACCGCCAAGCTGCACAGCGATGGCTCAGGTGGTCAGGATGGTGTGCAGTTTGGCTTTCTGGATTTTGTGTCTGTTTCCATGGAAGGGTTCCGGTGTTCCTGCAGTTGTGTCTGTCTACCTTTTCAGTCGGCTCTGACCAAAATCACTCCAGACCAGGAGTAGGCACCCTGAGTAAACTGACTTTCAAAGGGAGGGAAGTGGGACTTGCTTTCATGTAGAAATCTCCACACACAGTCCCTGTGCGCGTCTGATCTTCTGCCATGGCTCAGCGTGTCTCTCCGAGTTGCCTAGACAGAACAAGTTTTTACAAGTGCACGTCCAGAGCTCATGGAGAGAAATCCAGAATGTATGTCCGCTAGCATGGAGGAAACAAGGGCATTCTTGAAATAGTAATTGCCCACAATTTACTTGAAACGTCGTTTTCTTCCCAGATTAGTGTTCTCTGGGTATCCCCCTTGTCCCGGTGGCTCTGAACTTGTTGAGCATTCTGCGGGCGCGGAGGGCGGAGTTAGGAAAGCGGAGAGCAGAAGCGAGCAGGTTGGGGATTCGCGTATGTGGCGTGTTGGAGCCCATTTACATTCAACTGTTGCATTCTCGTTAAAAGGGGAAAAAGCCTGAGTCTTCATTTCATAGTCGATCATGCGAAAGCTTGCCATTCAGAATACTAATAGAAGCTTCCTGAATAAAACTTTATCAATCTGGCCTAGTATGACACACGCCGGGAAACCAGACTCCTGGTCTTAGGCTTGAATCCTTTCTTGTGGCCTGGGGCCAGTCATTTACTATCTTACCTCCCTTTCTGCCATCTGTAAAGGATAAATACTTCTGTCTTGGGAATGTTGAAAGGATTAATTAGTTTGTCTGTAAAGAACTTTGAAGATGAAAAGTACTTCTTAATAACATTATTGCTTAGAAAAGAGTGCCACTTTTATGCTAACCACTTTATGCCTCAAATTACATAAAGAAGGTATGTTTAATCCCTTACTAGTAGTTAAGAATTGGGGATAGCCCTCTAATGGTGTGAACATCAATCCGGAGCTTGAGCCTCTCAAAGGGACGGGTCCTTTTCGAGCAGTAGCTGACCGTGCGCACTGGCACGACGCTGTCTCCTGGGTGAGAGGACCTTTCTCGGGACCCAGCCTCTCTCCTTCCGTCAGACCACGTCTTCCAGTGTAGCTTGACAAAGACGCTTTCACTGTGGGTGGGGACCGGGAGAGGAGGAGAAACGGAAGTGAGACCCATGTTCTTTTTCTCGTTTTTCCCCCTCCTCATCCTTCCTGTTTCACCCCGATGGTGTGCATGTGCTGCTGCCTAGGACATTTCTAGAAGGCTTAAAAGCTCACTGCTCAAACTGTGAAGAAATGTGGGGCTGCTCAGTTCTTTTCCCTCCTTTAAACCCAGTGAACAAAAACCGGCCAGTGTCCTGACATGATAATAAGAGGATTCTAACAACACCCGATACAGAATTATATAAGGAACAGTACATAACTCATACCAAGTTCAAATTTACTGTCCTGATTGGAAGGGAGAGGGTATGTTAATTATGCAAATGATAATGAAGTAACAGAACCAGCTCAACAGACCACAATCAAACTAATCAGATTATATGTAAAAATTTCTTAGAAAAAATGGGAGATCTGGTGAAGAACTGAGATTTAAATTTGGGAAATTATTTGTCAGAACAGTTTTTAAAGCTCGCTCTGTGGAGAAAGCGCCGGGATCCCGGGCGAAGCGGGTGGAGAGTGTGTTTGGCGTCTCCGCTCTGTTTTAGCAGTCGGTCTGGTGCGGTGGTTTACACTGTGAGCTGACACCTTGTCGGGTGAGTTAAGACCGAGTGGAAGAAAACCACATTGTTCCCGTAGCTCTGCGCTCCCTCCTCTTGGGCAGGGGCTTGTTTGATGCCCTCCAAGTCCATTCTGACTCAGACACCCCATGGACAGAGGCAGCTGCTGCCTTGGGGATCTCCGCTTGAATCCGCCCGAGAAAAGAGGTATCCGCAGGTCTTCTGTGCCACCGAGAAACCACCCAGCCGAGCTCTTCACGCTTGGGCGTCAGGGCCACCGCGGCTGTGCCCACGGGGGTGCATGCACTTCTCTTGGCCGTGGCTGAAATCAACATGAACTGTGTTAGCAGCATAGATGCTGATGGCCATCACAGCAATCGCCAGCATCCTTGCATTGTGAGTTCAGGAACCCCATTCCGCCAGATGAGTAGCAACCACTGAGAACACCGTCCTGCACTTCAGCGTGTCAGTGGGTGGTCTTGCTCGCACAGCCACTGGGTGTGAGTGTGACTCTCTGAATGCCCTACTTCTTTCCACTGACTTGTTCAGTGGATGAAATTTTCTGCTTGCCACATGTGTAGAGGGCTTTTTTTCATATGATCATCTTAATTAAAATTTGTTTCATGTGATAAAGTGTAATGCTAATTGCTGATAGCGTTCTGTTAACTTTTCTACAGTAAAACACTTGAAGATCGTTTGAAACTGGAAGCGAAAAATGGGACATTGAATATTTCAGACACCACTGTTGGCAGCAAGCAGTTGACGTTCACATTAAAGAAGGTACGTGAGTTGTTGTGGATTGTTCGTCCTGAACGCACAAAGGAAGAGTCGGCCGTGTGGTAGTGTTTCCTCTGTCAGCCCTTGGGACTTCCTTCCCAAGCTCTTCCCTGCAAAGGAGGCTGGTTCTGTCATTCTCCAGCATGCAGAGTTGCCTGACAGAAACAGAGCCAGGAGTGTTACAATCCAAATGACCCAAGAATTGGCACTGTTGCGGGGTTGGTGGTGAACCGAGAGCCGAGGGGTCTGGATCACGGAACGTTGATGCTCCGCGGTTTATCACTGAACGTTGATGCTCCGCGGTTTTTCAGCAGCGGCGCAGTTGCACGATCCTTGCCGCCACCTTCATTCAGGAAGGGGACCACCCGCAGAAGACTCCGCTTCCCTCTTAACCCATTCACGGCTGCGGGCTTGCAGGTGCGCAGAGCCGCTGGCAGCTCTGACTCTGTCGCTTCACATGGTCTTTTCGCGGCTCCTGCCTGTACTTGTGTCTGTGCTTGATCCATGCTGATTGCCACATGCTGTTCCGCTGGGTGAGTCACCCATGATCACTCCCTCAGTTGTCGGTCGCCACTTGTGAACCTGTGGATTATTGTCCCTTGTTAGGGACTCTGTGAAGGTGGCACAGTGTTTGCATGGGGTGCCTCTTCCTTCCTTTCGGTGAACATCCACTGGTGGTGGCTGGCACTGTTTGACCTTGACCTTCTGAGGGATGGCCACGGTGTTTAGAAAGTGGCTGCGCTGTTTTACATTCCCAGCAGCGGAGGGTGTGAGGATTCCAGTGTCTTCACGTCCTTACCAGCTCCCGTCCTGGCTGTCTGGCTGTCGGAGTGCGGGCTGGTGCCTCTGGCTTCTCTCTGGTGCTCAGTGGGATGGAGCATCTTCTCGTGATGAATTCTTTAATACTAGGTGTTATGAGAAAGAGGAAGCCCCTCAAGGAGATGGATGGACACCGTGGCTGCAACCATGGCTCCGGCACGGGAACAGTTAGTCGTGAGGATGCCCCGGCACCGGGCAGTGTTTGGTGCTGTTGTGCATAAAGCCCCCGTGGCGCAGAAACTACTCGTGGCTCCTAACAGCGGAACATTAACAATATTAAGGAGCCTTTCTGTTAAATCAGCCTCTGTGTAGAGCAAATTTGCATTCTTCCATGTATCGCTGAAATACTTGGCTTTGTAGTCAGGTAGTACACCATCCCGACCCTCAGCTTGCTGTAAGTGCTCTGTGCCCGTCGCAACACTTCTTGAAACTCTGGAGATGCTGCATGGGCATAGGGCCTCCGGGCAGCTCCAGGAGACTGTGGCCTGACTCCACAGCAGGTGCTGGCTCCACAGGAGACTCTTCTGCTCGTTGGAATGGGAAACCTATTGAGCTGAATATCAGTTGTAGTGTGTGGTAAGTGATGCTTCAGAAGTCTTTGTTGTTACTATTATTTTGCCGAAACAGCACTAAGGAACTCTTAAGATGCAGCACGAAAGTAAGATGAACTGTTTTTAAAAGAAAGAGACGTGTAGAATGGCGTTACTCTCAAATCCATCAGCATCTTTGAAACGTTGGGAGTTGTACCAAGTCACTCTGGATCGGCACCAAGTCGAGCTTGTTTTGTGTTTTATCACCCAGCTAACCAGATTTTAATTCCTACATCACAGAGGCACGTGTGTGTATTTGTTTTTAGAAATTTCCATCTGTTTGATGTGTGATATATTCAGATAAAATGTCCAGTTTTCCTCGTACTTTGATCTATACTTTAAAATATGTCATTATAATGCAAGAGGGGAATTCTCTGCTTTCCTAATGTTTAAAATGAGTAGAGGCAAAACTGGGATGAGAGCCTAAATCACAACTGGAAATGGCAGTGACAGAGCCCCTGGTTTGCCCTGTGCCGTGTGCACGTCCCTCCACCCTGCTCCCTCTCCGGGCTGAGTCACAAAGTGAGTAGTCAGGCCACAGGCTCCTGGAGAAGGAAAGGAGCACTTGGAAATGAGTTAATTGCCCCATAAATCGTAATGAGCCAGTCATGTGATGACAGTGTCTTCCACGTACAGCCGTTTAAAGAGCTGCTCATGAGAGCGTTTTTCTGCGTGGGGAACAGTGAGGAACGGTGGCCGCTTCTCCGAGCTGCCCGGGAGCCACAGAGATGCCCCGAGAGCACACCCTGCTGATCCGTTTGCCGCACGCCATTTTCCAAAGTGATTTGAAAAGGAAATAACTTTTTAAAGGGCTGCTCTTAAAAGCCACTGTTGGTGGATTTTGCAAGGGCTCGTGACGATGTCATTATCTGATCTCCTAGGGAGCGTACAGCTTCCTTGAAAGCAGTGGTTCTCCACCTTCCTAATGCCACGACCCTTTACTGCAGCTCCTCATGTGTGGTGACCCCCAACCATAGCATTATTTTTATTGCTACTTCATAACTGGAATTTTGCTACTGTTAGGAATCAGGCGACTCCTGTGAAAGTCGCAACCCACTGGGTTAATCAGTGTGTACTGAAGACCTGCCCTGTGCTGGGACGACAAGCAGGGTCCTCGCCGTCGTAATTCCACTCCGTGCAGAAAGACGGTGATAAAGAGTTTGTCGTTGTGGCTGGTGCACGTGCTCCCAGGGAGGACCGAGCCCGAGCATTAGCTGAGGGTGAGTGACCTGCAGGCCAAGCTGCGCCGATGAGTAAGGGTCCTGTGGAAGGCTGGCCTGTTCCGAGGTCCACACAGGTATCTGTGTGTCCTTAACATGGGGACCCAGGCTGAGAGTGGCCTGAAAGGTGACTAGGAGGGGAAGTAGGGGCTAGACCCTGCCAGTCCTGCAGGAAGTGGATATTAAAAGTTTAGTCTCGACCCTGAGAACACAGAACTCTCTGAAGTTATGTGCTTAGTAAGCAGAGGACTAACAACATTTTTACTTTTAAAAACCCTCTGGCTTGCACATGGAGAATGATTGGAAGGAGGAGAGGAGGCCCTTGGGACAGCGGCCTCTGCGGTGTTAGCAGGAGGGTGAGCGGTCTGCAGGACCCCTCCCTTGCCCCTCTCTTAGGGATGGGAGCAGCCTGGGAGAAGTTTGGAATGCTCTTGGCAGACGCTGTGTGGCACTCGAGAAGAAGCAGCGTCCACTGAAAAGGACCGTCCTTCAGTGCGACTCTCAGCCTCCGGCTGTGTGGCGTGCCGCCCAGCTGGCTCTGACTCGTGGCGGCCCGCTGGTGTCAAGGCAGGAATGTTCCCCACAGCAGGTCACCAGGCCTTTTGTCCCAGAGTTGCCTTCAAACCACTGGCCTTTTGTTTGTGGCTGCGGGCTTAGCTGTTGCACCACCAGGCCGAGCCAGGAGTGTCCTGGCAGAGGGGCAGTCCAGCCTGTGGGGGTCTTGCACTGAGGGTTATTTTAGGGGAGAAAAGCTATTCAACCCTCACCAGTGGGGTCACTGTAGAACAGAGGGCTTAATAGCTGAAGACGGGACAAGGGTGAGGCTGGAGGAGGACACTTGAAAGCTGCACTTTTACAGTGATTCTGAGTTTCCGCTGGCAGGATTGTAAATGTCAAAAAAACAGCAACCATCTGACAGATTGCGCGCGCACACACACGACAGCTCCCAGCCTTCTCCCTCCCTGCTGCCGCATCACAGCAGGTTGCTAGCATACTGTTGGGCTAGGCTTCCCTTCACTCAGCAAAAATAGTACACAACGTCACACACGGTTTTGGGTTGTTGGGTGCTACTCAGGCAGTCCTCATGCAGGGCGGCGCTGTGTACACCGCCCGCTGCTCCCATGATTGTAATGGTGTCTGAGCCCATCGGGGACTCATCTCCCCTGATAGCATGCCCAAAGGATGTGAGGCGGAGTCTTACTCGTCCTCATTTGTAGAGCCAACCTTTCCTGGTATTAAGCATTCCTGGTAGAACGTGTAGAGCCAACCTTTCCTGGTATTAAGCATTGCTTTTCCATCTCACTGGCCTCGACCCCTACCTCTTTACAAACATCAAGTGGCGATACCAGCTGGTGGTGAACATAATGTCTTTCTCCAAAGCTGAAACACAAATGAGAAAACTAGATCACAGTCGAGCAAGTGGCATAGGTATTGACAGGCGAGGTTCTTCAGCTTCCCCCCAGCAGTCTCGTCTCGTCTCCTTTCCAAGCAGGGCCCCGCCCCCTGCTAACAGTGTGTGAGCCGTACTGCCTGCAGGTAGCCTTCTCTGCACCGTCCCTGCGATCAGGAGACGGCTGGTTGTGGAAGGTCACGGCATCACCTGTGGCTGCATGCGCATCCTAATTATGGACGTGGGAAATTCGCTTATTCTTGGTTTGCTCAGTGTTTTTCGGAAGCACATTTTGGCCTCTGAGGGGAGTTTACTTTCTTTGTGAAACAGTGAAAACTCTTCAGGACCAGTTCTGGCGGATGGAAAACCAAGCTTGGATACGAGACTTTCAGTACACAGAAGTGCCGTGGTTCTGTTTAAGTCCGTGTAAGACACTCGTGGCTCTGGGTTAGAAGTGAAGGACTGTTCTGAACGAGAAGTGTGGGGCAGTTTGTGAGCAGTAAACAGCATGTTCTTTTGTAGGGATTTCTCTCTGAAATGCCCAGTACTGTTTGTCCTTTGGCTGGAAAGCCCACATAGGACTTGTAGTTCAGACTGGCCTGACAGGATAGATCTCCTCTAGTCAGGGCATCTTCCTACGCACGGACTGTGTGGTTTGAAGTGATGACAAGAGTGGACTTTGGTCCTTCAGCCCGACCGACCCTCCGCCCCTGGGCTCCTGTGGGCAGCGTCTCCCCTGCGGTAGGGGGCATTCTCGTGGCTATAGAAAAATGGAGTACTGGGATTTTCATTCTCTCTCTCGCCCCATTTTGTTTCTCCTTAGTCCGAACAGCAGAAGCAGCAGCAGGAGGCTGAGAAAGTGCACCGGCAAGAGCGGAAGAAGCTTCGCCGTTCAGCCGGTCACCTGAAGTCAAGACACAAGCGAGGACGGCCATTTCACTGACCTTGGACGTGTCCCCCCAAGACGCCTGTGTTCATGCTTCTCTGATCCCTGAGGAAGGTGTGTGAGAAGCACACTGCCACCTAACTACCACCCCGGGCGTAGCTGTTTGAGTTCCGTGTACGGTCCTGGTGCAGTCACTGAGGTACTGGGCTCACAGCTAAGGGTCATTGTACCCCGGGTGTGAATCGAGTAAGCTCAGTTACCATTTTTAGGATTGTGGAATGTGTACCACCCAATGAATGGCTTATCTTGGGCTAAAGGTGAAAGGTCATCACGTGCTGCTGCGGTGCCGTGCACACATGCACCTCGTGAACTTCAGAGATCTTCACTGTGCGCCTGGGTCGTGATCACTCATCTGACCCCCATGGGTGACGATGCCTCAAACAGAAAACACAAGGCGGCTTCATGGAAAAATTCCATTATCTTTTCATTCTACTTATCAGGAGTTTTTTGGAATTCCCCTAGCCGCATGTGCACGCCCCCCCCCCCCCCCATGTAATTTCTATCTGTATACCCCAGATTATTTTTAAATAAATACAGTAACTTAAAAAACACCTGCATGTCGTCAAGTCATGTAAATGACGTTTCTGTTCACATCTGATCGGGACAATGGTTTTGTCTTGTTTTTCCCCTCCCACTTAAGACAATGTGGACTAACTACAGAAATAAGAATAACTAGCGGGAAACCCCTGTTTTAGAGAGTGTTCACTTTGTCAAGAGCCCTGGGCACAGTGCGGTTACTGTTGGGCTGCTAACGCAAGGTGGGCGGTTGGAAACCACCAGCTGCTGTTGAGAAGGAAGACGAGGCTGGCTGCCGCCGGCAAGATCCATGGCCGAGGGAGTTGGAAGGGCAGCCCTGCTCTGTCCTGTGGCGTCTCTCTGAGTCAGAATTGGCTCCATGGCCGTGGGTTTGGGTTTGGGGTTCACTTTTTAGGGAGGGGGAAAATTTGAGAGGAACCTCAGTTCTGTTAGAGGGCCCCACGTGCCATAAGAAAAAGCAAATGTTTTATAACCTGATTGGACTAATGTTAACAGCATTCTTTTAAATACAAGTTCTGGAGTATTTTATTAAACCTTGGTGTTAATCTGGGTAGACTAGAGAAACAAAGCCACAGAAACTCATATGTATATAAGAGAGAGTTTTATACAAAAGGTAAGTATACGTTAAGAAAGCATCCCAATCCAGGCTAGTCCAAGCCTATAAATCCGACAGTGATCTACAAAGTCCTCCTCAAACCCCCAAAATACACGCAATAACACCAGCCAGCAGGAGGAAAGCCAAATTGGTGGGCGTGGAAGCATCTCAGCGCTGGCAGGGGGGTCCCCACCCAGCTGCTCCAGCACCCACGGCTGCATTGGGGTAGGTCCATGTGGCTTCTCAGGTGTGTCTTGCAGGAAGTGAGCCTTGTGAGCCTTGCCAGCAGAGGCAGAGAAGTAGCTAAGGCAGCTGCACACTGGTCTGACCATCAGAGCAAAAAGGCGAGGCTCACGGAGTCGTTTCTCGCTCTGCCCTTCAGTTAATCCCACATGTGTTTATTGGCCAGGTTTGCACAGTAAACCTTAACAGTCACAACCTACAACTGAAATCCCCGCAGTTCTTAGGGCTGTTTGTGTTTTCCGTCTCTCTTGGCTGGCTCCAAGAAGCAGGCTGTACGGAGAGGGGCGTGAGCGTGCAGGAAGGTCACTTAGGAAGCGCTGTCATAACCCTGAGGACCCCTGGAGGCCATGGTTAGAACACTCGGGTGCCAACAGAAAGATGTTATGTTGTTGGGTGCCATCAAGGCAGCTCTGACCCGCAGCGACCCCGTGCATAACAGAACAAAACACTGCCCAGTCCTGCGCCCTCCGCACAGTTGTCCCTGTGCCTGAGCCCACTGTTGCAGCCACTGTGTCCGTCCATCTCCTCCAGGGACCGATCTGCCCTGATAACATGTCCAGAGTACATGAGACAAAGTCTTGCCATCCTTGTCTCGGAAGAGCTTTCGGGCCATGCTTCTTCCAGGGCAGGTCGGCTTCCTTTCTGCAGGGCTTGGTACCTTGAACAGTCACAGGCCGCAGTGCAGACGCATCAGTTGTCCCTCCAGCGTCCTTGCTCCCGGCCCAGCTGTCACACGCATCTGGGGCAGTGGAAAGAAAGTACCGTGGCTTGGGTCAGGCGCTACAAGTAAGGCTGTTCAATAAAGTCTTACCCAGCAGACTGACTGAGCAACATGTCTTCTGACCTCTTGACTGCTGCTGCCAGGAGCACTGACAGGCAGTTTGAACCCACTAGTAAGTGGGGGAAAGGCGTGGCAGCCTGCTTTCTTAAAGCTTCAAAATTCAAAAAACCCTTAAAACTGTTGCCACTGAGGAAATCCAGGACAGATTATCCCTTCAGGACCAGTGGTGAGAGTGGCGATACGGGAGGGTCGGGGGAAGGTGGGGTTGAAAGGGGGAACTGATTATAAGGATCTACATATAACCTCCTCCCTGGGGGACGGACAACAGAAAAGTGGGTGAAGGGAGACATCGGACAGGGCAAGATATGACAAAATTAATTATAAATTATCAAGGGTTCATGAGGAAGGGGGTGGCCGGGAGGGAGGGGGAAAATGGAGCTGATACCAGGGGCTCAAGTAGAAAGCAAATGTTTTGAGAATGATGAGGGCAACAAATGCATGTATGGATTGTGGTAAGAGTTGTATGAGCCCCCAATAAAATGATTAAAAACAAACAAAACCGCTACTCAGAGTGACTATCTGGGTCTGCGACTGCAAATCTTTATAGACTGATGGTCTCCGCTTTCTCCCATGGAGCTGCTAGTTGGTGTGAACTGGCAGCTCTGAAGTCAGCAGTCCAGTGCTCACTGACAGCGTGACCAGCCTGGGAGCCCAGTGGGAAGAGCCCTGTCTGCCTGGTAGGGTTGCTGTGAGTCCGTAGTGACTTGAAGGTAATGGGTACGATAGCTTCAGAAACAGTTCCTGGAAAATGGGATTAAAAGACAATGGAGATTTCCCATGAGCTTATAGCTCAGCCGGCCTCAACCTGTGGGTCACAACACTCTTTACAGGGGTCCCTCGATTCATAACAGTATCAAAATTACAGTGATGAAATAGTAACGAATATAATTTTATGGTTGGGCATTGGGGGTGGAGTCACCACAACATGAGGAACTGTATGAAAGGATCTCGGCATTATGAAGGTTGAGGAATAGCCCCTCATAATCCTGGAGCCGCGGTGGCAGCTGGGGGCATAATGGCATGACTACAAAGTATTTGTGGTCTGAGCACTGACAAGATTGGAGTTGTCATTGGCTGATAGACCACAGCAGGCATAGGTTTGGGGTGAGTTAGAAATGAGGGACTCTGTTTTGGCCAAACACCCAAAATGGAATTCTTGATCATGTATTCAAATTCTAAAACTAGTACCTGCTCACTCACAATGAAGGCCGCCTTCCTCGTGAGAGCCTGTAAGGCCTGACGTAAGCTAGTCTCTCCTATAACGGCTTCATCACATTGACTTTCTGTTTCTAGAATAAACCAGGACCTTTGCAGTCGTACCTCCTGCCTGGAATGCCCTTCCTGGGGATAGCTGCATGTCTCACTCACTCATTCACCCACCCCTCCAACTCAGTATGGAAATGTCCACTCGGGAAGGTCTTTTAAAGTTACCACACCCACCTCCCAACGCCGCCCCTGCAGGAGTCCTGGCCTCTGTGCTGCCAAGGAGCCCCGGGACTGCGTGCTTTTGCAGTTGCATTAGGGCTGTTTCAAGCACGTACCAAAGACGAGGACCGTTTCATGAGCCCCCATATATCAATCACTTGCTCCCAAGAAGTAACGAAGTCTACCCCTGTCTATCCCTTCTATTAATTTGAAACAAAGTCTAGACCTTATTTTGTCCATAAAGACTTAATATTTACTCCCTTTTTGTTTGTGTCCCCCCCCCCCCTTAACAGAATGCAAATCAATAAGGATAGGGGTTTTGTTTCTAGGGGGCTAGGGTAAGTGAGGGACTGTTGTTTACATCTTGCATATCTAATTTGCAGAATAGTATCTGGCCTGCAGTAGCTCAGGAATATGTTTTAAATGAATAAATCAGATGAGAATTGAAATGTTGGATGTAATGAGCTTCAGAGGCTGAAAAGAGCAGTTCAGGGAAATGCAAGGGAATGGGACCTTGTGAGTGTAGACAATGATTTGGTATCAGAAAAGGTAAGCGGAGAGTTTTCCCTTCAACGGAAAAAAATACGCATATCTGCATGTTGCTGGGAATAATCCCTAAGGAGAGGGGAGAAGGCCGGGGCTGGGGTGGATTCGAGTGGGTGGGAGGTAGAAGTGGGGGAGCAAGTGGGCATTCTAGTCTGTTGACTCTGTTTTCTAACAAAATAAGGCCAAAGCAAATGCCTTCCCTGGGGAAGGGAAGTAGGAGTCCTGCACTACAGCCTTGGGCTCCGTCCCCACAGGCTGACACTGAACACAGCTGGCACAGAGCACCGCGCTTTTATTAGAGGACTCGGACACAGATACAGAACTAAGACGCCCAGAGAGCTTTCCTTCCCCCTTGTTTTCCTGCCTGCCAGAGTCTCCAAAATCCTACCTCTGTATCTTTTCAAATGTTTTCCTTTTTTACTTTGCCAAATAGGCCCTAAATATTTTTAACTTTGTGACCCACAACATATGTAATTTCAAAGTGTTGGGAAAGTAAACCTTGCAGCATGCACGCTGGTATTTTCCTGTTTTCTCCTGTTGTAGGTTCTTTTTTTAACCAAAAAATAAAAATAAACCATATCTGTTAGGCAGGGTTCTCTGGAGATAAACAAAACCAGCACACTTATGATTATATATAAAAAGGATAGGTTTATACAGTGAGAAGGAATATAACAGCTAATTAGTCCACACAACAGTACAGAGGGCTCAGTTCAACTCACTTTGGTGCAACAGTTAATGTACTGGAAGTCCTGCAACTCAAGTGAACTGCAGGCCCAAGGTCAAGGAAACAGACAGCGGAGTATTCCTTCAGGCAAGCCAGGCAGAGTCTGCCTGCAGACAGCAGGGTGGGTCGGCAATAGTCAGTAGCTGGGAGCTTAGCAAAGCAGGCCCGGAGGGGACATTGAACTCAAGCGCCGTGGCAGGATCCACCAGCAGCAGGCTCCATCCATGTACGCACCAGCAGTGTGGTGAGGCAGGTCTCCAAGAGCCTCGAGCTCTGGGGACACACGATCCCTGGGTTGGCTTGGACCACAGGTAGTGTAGCTCCCCAAGCATGTCATGACTGCTTTCTCTATGGTGATGGTCAACTGTGTGTCCTGAGCCATTTGGCCGAAGCCTTCATGAGAACGGTTTTTGGCTGTGCTCAAGATGAGTGGTTTTTAAAGCTCGACCTTTAAGTACTGATTAAATGCAGAATACATTTTATAGAAGGATGGTGGTGGTATTTTTAATAAGAGAATTTTAAAGATTTGGTGGTTCTTAGGTAAGCTTCGAATGCATTGAAATGTTGCCTGCGTTTTCACCGGATGGTTCATCTCCTCTGCGTGTGGGCTCACTGAGTCAGCAGCCCCTCGTGGCCCCTGACAGCAGCAGCACGCTCAGTAGACATTTGATCATTTCTTTCACATCCATAAGAAGTTTATATGTACAAGTTAGCATAATTATTTGTCCTTCTTAGGGAATCATGGAATTCATCTGTTCTTGGAGCTTCCTTATATTTAATTAGGCACATCCAGTAGTAGGATGTAAGACACTCGGCATACGTTTGAACGTGTAGGAAATAATTCCTGTTTAATAATTCCTATTTTTGAAATGCTTCTGCATGTCCATGAAAATTTTCCAAAATTAGTCAATGCAGTTTTAAAAAGTAGCTGGCCTTTACATGCAAATGAACAATTTGAGGGGCTACAGTGTGCCTCCGACCTAACACTTATTGTGAGGGGCACCTCCTCCGTGGATAGAAATCCATTAGGAAAAACAGCTCTTTTGCAGGGGTGCGAGTGTCTAAGAAGCCCGGTTCACCGGTGTGCAGGTGCGCCCCTCTGCTGTGTGTGTGTGTGTGTGTATGTGGGGGGGGGGGGCTGCCCATCTGCTCAC